TGTGGACGTGGTCCAGGCGTGTCACAAGGTTTGGCACGACGGTTTATTATTTAAATTTAAGCAACTGTTACGCTTGCAATTCGTGGAGTTACTTAAATCACATTTATTCAAAAGGAAAGGACGAGAAGGAAATTAGGGCCGGTGTGCCTCAAGGTAGCATTTTGCGTCATATATTATACGTGCTATAAACAAACGATTTACCAGATTTAGAGTTCTACTGTGACTACATTTGCCGAAGAAACAAAAATATTGGCAGTAGGATCTAAAGTTGAAGAATCGACAAAACAATTATAGGAAGCTGGTAACAATATAAGTAAAAGGTCAAATACATGGAAAACAAAGCTAAATGAAAGTAAATTTGTACATGTAAATTTCACAAATAAAAATCTAGTAAACCCACCACGACCAAATTTGAATGTTTAAGAGTATCTGGATTGTCAACATACAACAAGCTGTTTATATATAACCAAATAAAGCCTGTGTGGACATATGGCTTACTGCTATAGGGTTGTTCCAAGCAAACACAAATCGAACAAATACAAACTTCCGGAACAAGGTCCTTCGTAATACGGTGGGTGCTCCCTAGTACGTTCGCAAAAATGATATTCATAGTCCTTTATTTCCTCACCCCAACATGCGTTTGCAACAGCATGTAAATGTCGGGCTTCTCGACTTATAGGGGAGAGGGTTTGGACAAAAAACTGAAGTGAACGAGACCTCTCGACTTAGCCTAAATTGACCTTTCTTCACGGAATATGGACACAAAAACACGATCGGGCAAAACTAATGGTTAGTTAGTTTGACTAGATTTAGCAGCTTATGACCATCCAGGTACGTTTTAGGTTGGGTTAATGTCCCCCATCATTGATGTTATTAGAGCAGGTCGGGTCCGCTTATCTTTGTCTATCGTTGTGTACACTTTATACGATACGATAATATTAACTAGAATACGATATAAATAACTAGCGTTCCCACTTGAATTTAATTGTATCCATTTGGATAGATTTTTGCTTTAAATTTAATCTGGATACAAAGATACTCTGATCTTTCTGAAGAAATCTGCAAAGGTACCGGAATTGACTACATTTGAAAGTTTGAAATGTGAAAACATTTTTTCTCAAAAACTAATTGAATACACTAATAATTCGCTTTGCGATGTTTCATTTTGTGTTATTTCATATTGCGTCGAAAAAAAAATTATTCATAGCTTCACTTTGCGACGTAAAAAATTTCACATTGCGACGAAAAAAAATTTGCGAATTTTACAGTCTGTACACATTTTTAATTTTATCTATTTTCATGATAAATCCTACTTTTTTACGGCATACACTTCAAGCTTTACAATACAAATGCAATATAAGTTGTGCGTTGTTTCTTAAAAAATTACTATAAATAATACAATTCACATTACTGAACAAACCAATTTAATATTATTTATGAGTTTATTTGTACCAAATTAGACGACTTAGAATAGAAATTCTACTTTACGAGGCTGGATTCATTTTGGATAGATTTTGTTCTCGAATTTGGATACATTTTGTTTTAACGAGTGGAAACGGTATAATTTATAAATAACTTATTATGAGAATTGGATTCAAATGAGATTACATTTTGTTTATTGTTTTCCCATGTTTTTTTTTTCTTTGTGTTCGATATTTCTTGATATCGAAAATCTCGAAATTTATGTATTATATGTGTACATGTATATTACATTAAATTAATATAAAGGGAACTGGAAGTTAAAAACAATACTAGCTTAATGAGAAATATAAATTGCGCTTTAATGCTGAAATAGCAAATAATGTTAAGACGATAAATCTACGAACTATTGCAGTTTTTAGAATATTTTAAGTTCGAATCAAGCTTTATTAGCTTATGATGTTGATTCCTTTTTTGATACTTGGTAAATTGTAAATAGCCACTCCGAGAAAATTTATTACCCATTAGATATTACTATAGATATTACTACCTGACATAAGTAACGGAAATTTATCGCATAAGGAAAGTACTCCAGAGACAACTAATTGGGAAAACACTAGTCGAAAGCGTTTTAAAAATTCACCCAATTGAAAACGAAATAAAATTAAGAAATTAAAAAATAGTTGTTAGTAAAATAATATCGAAAAAATATATGTATGTATATATACAGTAAAAACGAAAAAATTTGAGGAAAGGAATATACTAATTGGAAAAAGCAAACTGTAAGAGCCAAAGAAATGAAACTTCCTTGCCGAAAGATTTACAGGTGAAATGAAATCAGAATTGAAATAAAACAAAACGAAACAAATTTCCGGCGAATTTTGGAGTGCAGACGGCATACATAAGCCTTCAGCGAGACTTTATTTACCGATGTGACAATATAACAGAATACAAACGTCAACTACTTCGAACTCACAATAGTGACGAGAACGCCTTTTTATTAGTTCTCAATATACGGCTTAAAATACGAAGAAAAGATGAAAGTTTGCTCCACTTTTTTTTCTAAGTAAGCTTTCTATCAGTCACCAAATAGTTAAAAATGTCATTTGATAAAAAGCACGTCAATTTCAGAAAGAGATCAATGGACACGTACCACTTATTACCGGACAACTGTATGTTGTCATATTAACACTTTTCAAAGAGTTGAGATTCACAGTTCCAGACAGAACCCTTTGAAAGAATACGTGATGCAGAAATATTCGCCTAATATTAAAGCATTAGAAAAAACTCGAGGTCTATGGTCAGACTTAAATAATTATGAACTGAAAAAATCAACGAAAATGCAAACTGCGACAGTGATAGTGACAGCAATTGAGTTTTCTTCTTGTTACTGACCGCATTGCATACAATAAATTTTGCATATCGAGTTTTCGGTGGAAACACACTTCTCCATAGTAAAGTAGCGTAAATAAACTCTTTTTAGAGAGATGTCGATCTGTCTGTTTATGTGTGCACGCGTGTATCTCAAGATCGGCTGAACCGATTTTGATGAAACTTTATATGTGAGTTTATTTTGGCTATCATACTTATTAATCAACTTTTAGGATATATGAGACCCACGGAACTGGACCTTTTTGCAGAACGATTTTAGATTTTAGGTCGGTTATGTGCTTAAGTGATCAGTACATAACCGACCACAATGTGTATTGTCCAGTTAAATGCAAAAAGTTACAGAATATTATAAAAATGCCTGTTACATACTTTTCTCCAATTTTTAGGACATTAGCAAGCTTATAGTTAAAATACCTAGAAAAATGTAAAATTGGTTCTTAGTAGAATTTCTCATTGTGCCACCCGAATTCTCTGAATTCTCGCTGGTTAGTTTCAGTACCAACCAGAAATCAAATACCAAAACCTGATCTTTCCAAAAATTTGTATGTTCATTGTTTTAATACGAAAAATTTAAATATTAAATTTCACTGAAATCGGTCGATTATTTCTCTTTATATACGCAAAAGTCTAAATTCGGCTCGTAGTAAACGTCTAGTTGGTGCCGCCTAATTTATTCCAAAAGTTAGGAAGTTAAAAATGTAAGACAGACCTGTTAAAAAGTGCAGTTCCTGATGCCTACGTTATGGATGCGGTATGTTGACGACGTCTTCCCGATAATGGATAAAGAAAAACTAGAGAATATTAGCAGGGGAGAAGAATGAATTTTTGGATATATTGATGTAAAGAAAATCAGGGAAAACTGGATTCAACATATATAGGAAGAAAACAACAAACAAAGATGCATCCCAAAATACTCGTACCATTTAATGAAACATAAAATTGCGGCCTTCAACTCTATTAAATGTATTAACAAGTTTATGAGGAGGAAAAAACAAAAAATTTACTAGGAAAATATGAGCGCGTTAGGTAAACAAAATAGGTTATTCTCTCTATAAATTTGATAAATAAACAACTAAAGAAACACAATATTCGGACATCGGAAACCAATTGTAAATACTAACTGAGGAACTTTGTTAAATTCAGCTACGGATAAATTGAAAGATGCGGTGCAAATTAAAATTGAAGAAACACGGTGTGTACAAAATGATGTACATATGCGGTGTATACAAAATAGAACGCAATAATAGCAACAAATTTTGCTAAACGAAGAGACCTGTTACAATAAGGCTTAAGGAACATTTAAGTGATGTAAAACGTTACTGAGCAGTAGTAGTGAACAGGAGTTTCGAATAGTTGGAAAGTGCATTTATGAAACGGTTCACTTAATTAAGGAAGACAAGAGGTGAAATGAACACAAATCAAACAAGGACTGCCTACTAAATACGGGCGAAGTTAACGCGGCTTGCCCGGTTTCTTTAAATTAATGGTTTCTTTAAATTCATTACTTGACCAGTTTTAAGGATTAAAACGGGTATAGTTTTAGTTTATAATTAGTAAAAAACAAAAATAAAATTTTAGATTAAGTCAGGTATAAAATTTTAATAGAGTTTAATTTTAAAATTTGTTGCCTTAATTAGAAGGAAATCTGTTTTACTTAAGTGCATGTGTAGCTCACGAAATATATTAACTAAAATAAAATACTTTATTCTGAATAAAAGGAAGTTTTCTTTTTATACATCTAAAAAGAGTTTTATATTTCGGAAAAATTATGGACATTTTCAATGAAGAATTTTTTGAGGAAAACAATGAGGACCAATACAATAACATATATTTAGCAGTGCACTTAGATACTAGACCACCTGTGTATGTATATTTTCACTATAATATCATATATTCACTGTAATATCATCACAACCTGTGTATACTTTTGACTAACATAAGTTTCTAAAATTTTAAGTTTATAAAAAATTTTAAACAAATGTTTTAAAAAATTTAAAATAAAGTTTCAGAAATATCAATGAAACGCAGGTTTGTTTGTGATCCAAGTTCGACTATGTATTCCGGAAGGAATCGAATAAAATTATATGCTTGCTGCGAAAAATATTTTTATTAATTTATTCTCAAGTTACTATCACAAATAAAGGTAACTTTACGCGATCAATATTAATATATGACTTTATAAAATTTACCTTTCATAATACCCAAATTTTGAATACACATGTGTCCTTTTCGGATTACTTGATTTCCCAAAGCTCGACTTCCTGTTGTAGCCGCCTTTTCAGATTTACTTTGAGCGCTTGAATGAAAAAACATATGGTCAAAGAAATAATAATAGATATTATGCACACAAACTAAAATTTATACAAATTAAAAACGGTAGTTTCTAAAAAAGTTCATGGTAAAATTATAAAAATGTTAATAATAAATATCGAAAAAGTTATTAGATTTTTTGAGTTAAATAAAAACCAAAAATTTTTTATTATTGACTTCAATATGCTTATGCAACATCTAAAACATATCTGCGTATTTGAAAGCATTTGTCAATTTTAACCAGTTAAGTATGTAACTAGCCGTACACATATTTAATATTATATAAGCAGTATCATTTTTACTTAAATAAACTAAATTGAATATCAATCACAATTAAAAAATTCTTTCCAAATGAGTTACGAAAGTATAAAAAAATATAAATAATTATATAAATAAAGTATACAAAAATATAAAAAAATAAAAATAAAAGTAATTTTTCCATTTTTAATCATTCGATCATAATTGAAGCACAAAAACAGTTAAGAGTAGTCCTAAAGATTATAGATTATACAGGGTGATTCAGCAGCAAGTTAGGAGCCATATACCATCAGGTAGGCAGTTCAGTAGTTCTCTCCGAAGATTGAAAAGAGCAAAAAACATGAAAAACAAACAATCCAACACAAACGATTGAGAAAAGTCCTCAGGACCTAACACTCACCCTTCTTGGAGAACGAAAAATATATAATATTCGAAAAAATAATCATCTCACAAATTTTTAGTTCGAAAAATCGAAATAAGCTTAAATAAATATCAGTTTTTATCAAAGACATCAGACGTTTTTTGGTGAAATCTGAATGTTAATGCTTCATATGTTATTGTTTAGAATTTTATGTTTCGTCAGCAAGCTTTAAAAAGATATACATACACAATTTATATACATTCATTTTTATTGTTGGAGCGAAAAACTCTAAAATGCTAAATTCTAATACATTCGTATGTACATACTTATTTGAACAAAATTATTATTTTGTTTTTGCCTACATCTTTTTTTTATTTGAAAAATTTAATTCTAAATTTTGACCCAGAGTTGTGAATATTATGTTTCGTTAGGAGCTTTAAAAAAAATTTGTATATATTCATAATTATGTATGTTTGTACTTATAATTTTATTTCTAACTGTTTTAATGAGAAATTTTAAAATGTTCAATTCTAATACATTCATATGTAAATACATATATTTGAATACAAATATTATTTTGTTTATGCCTAAAACTTTTCTTTATTTCCCATGATTTAAAAATTATGTGTTTAAAATTTATTTCCTTATGCCACAATTTTGAATATTGATTTATTTAACTCAAACAAATTTACACTAGGGGCCCCTGTGGTTTGCTTATAAGCAGCATTATCTGTTGTAAAAACAGGATTGTGGCAATCAATTTTAAAATAAGTTTAGAAAAATTTGTACATATTATGGCATACATATGCAGGTATATACTTGTATATGCATAAATATCATATTGGTTTAAATAATAATGATAAATAAAAGTAATGGAAATATTTTTAATTTAATAAATTTTAAGATGTAATATGTGTCACTGTTAATTACATAGATATGATTAAAATTCAATTTAAGAATTAGTTAACAATTAAGAACGAAAAATTTCCTTATAAACAACGTTATCTGTTAAAATATTTCCATCATCGATTTTTCCCTGACGAACCGTATCTTTGACTTGAATTTTTAAAGAATTGGAGTCTATGGCTCTTGAACATGCTGTGTATAATTGCTCATGCGAAAAGCACGGCTGGGGGAGATAGAGGCCAACCTTTTCAAAAGTTTGCCCTTGGGACTTATTTATAGTCATGGCATATGCAAGACGGATGGGGAACTGATGCCGAACAAAATTAAAAGGAAAGGAAATAGTACCTTTCACGTTAAACTTTAAAACCAAAGTGAATGTGAATTAATAAAAAATCAATGCCTCTTTTCTTTATACAGACCTGGCTTGGCTACTTACTCAATTGAAATTTCGCAAGCACACGAAGAATAATTGCCTTAGTACGTAACGTAACGTTATTCGTATTCTATATCTCTCACAATTTTTAGTTTTATTTTTTTTAATTCCATTCCATGTTAAATACAACAACAAAAAATTATTTTACTCTTACTTAACTCATTTAAAATATTTCGCTTCCTTTTGCTTTTTATTTTTGTTTATGGTAGTAAAGCAAAAAAACAAAAAAAATATTACTACTCTTTTTTTATTCTCTTTCGCTTTTCGCTTTTCATTTTTTGTTTTTGTTTTACAGTATGTATAATCAATTGAGTAATGTATCTACCCAGTATTCTCTTTTGCTATTTTCATTTTTTTGTTTTTGTTATTTATTAGATTATATGTATACCTGTTCATGAACTGGAAAAATCTTGTAAAATATAATATAGATAAAAAGAGAAAACAAAAAATTAATATAAAATTTAGCAATCTATATTAAATTTTACAAGATTTTTCCAGTTCATGAACAGGTATACATATAATCTAATAAATAACAAAAACAAAAAAATGAAAATAGCAAAAGAGAATACTGGGTAGATACATTACTCAATTGATTATGCATACTGTAAAACAAAAACAAAAAATGAAAAGCGAAAAGCGAAAAGCGAAAGAGAATAAAAAAAGAGTAGTAATATTTTTTTGGTTTTTTTGCTTTACTACCATAAACAAAAATAAAAAGCGAAATATTTTAAATGAGTTAAAATGTAAGAGTAAAATAATATTTTGTTGTTGTATAAGAACACAAATAACGTTACGTTACGTACTGATCTAGATAACGTTGTTTATAAGGAAATTTTTCGTTCTTAATTGTTAACTAATTCTTAATTTGAATTTTAATCATATCTATGTAATTAACAGTGACACATATTACATCTTAAAATTTATTAAATTAAAAATATTTCCATTACTTTTATTTATCATTAGTATTCAAACCAATATGATATTTATGCATATACAAGTATATACCTGCATATGTATACCATAATATGTACAAATTTTTCTAAACTTATTTTAAAATTGATTGCCACAATCCTGTTTTTACAACAGATAATGCTGCTTATAAGCAAACCACAGAGGCCCCTAGTTACTTAAACTATACTTATACTAAAATCTATTTCAATATGTACAGACATAATAAATAAAAAAAAACATTTATTAGTTATCTGTTTGGTTTTATTTCTTTTTTTTTCTTTCTTTGTTTGTATACAAGATAAACTTAAACTGTAAAAGCTACCAGACAAATAAAACAAATTTATGGTAAGTTGGAGTACAAAACCTTTTTCGTTGTTCTCTACTTTGCGACAAATCAATAGAATTTTTATATTTATTAACATTAATAAACATCCTGTTTATTGGTTCGCATTTCCCATAATTTGTTCGATGAAAAGCCGTAATAAATATTTTCTGACCTAAACCGAGTACTAGTATTTGAGCTAGAATTAACAAATGTTTTAATTCTTGTAACATCAATTTGCCTATTTTTAACCTGGATAATGAACAAAATGTCTGCAACGATTCTTCTAGTTTCTAAAGTATTCAGACTTAAAAGTTTAAGTCGGTCTCCATACGGCGGCAGATTTAATACATCATACCAATTAAGACCACACGATGGAAAGAATAATATGGCGCCCAAAGTTGACTTGCATATTCAAGATTAGACCGAACCAATGATATGTACAAAGATTTCAGAATATAAGGATCATTGAATTTTTTACCCCACCTTTTTACAAAAGCAAGCAAGAGTTCTAAAATTCTATTTTCCATCAAAGACAACGCCCAAATCTTTAAAAGAATCTTTCTACAAGCTCACCATTAGTAGAGTAATCAGCAATAAAAGAAACCAATTTGCACGTATAACTAACAACCGCACATTTGCCAACATTAAGAAGCCGATTGTTGTGGTTGCACCGGGTCGAAAAAGAAACCAAATCCTCTTGCAATTTATTATTATCCTCCAAGCAAGAAATGACCTTAGAAATTTTTATATCATCAGCATAAGTGAAAATTTCACTGTACCTAATTACAAATGTAATATCAGTAATTGCCATTATAAATAACAAAGACCCTAAGTGACTACCTTTCAGAACCCTTGAATTGGCAACATACGGACTTGAAATGCATGATCTAAAACAAACATAGTAACTGCGACCCACCAAATATGATTCAAACCAGTTTAGCAAATTTGGAGGAAACCCAAGTCTTTTCAACTTAAATAAGACCCCACTATGCGGTAATCGATTGAACAAAACTACAGAAAATGACCACAAGAAAGTAAACGAGTAAACAAAATTGACAGAGGACCAGACATATAAAAAGCAGTTTTTTAGTACTATTTAAGAAACATTATCAGGCCCCGAAGAACAATCTGTCTCAAGCACGTCCGAATATTTTTTACTCAAGAAATGGAAAAGTCCATTGAAGAAATCAGTAGAATTGGGAAGGTATCAAGATGATTAAAATTGTCAGAGTTAATATTAAAAATACTATTGGAATACGAGCTGAAAAATAATTCACGAGAGAATTGTACAATTTGAATTGATTTATTGGAAGAAAAGCCCTCATAATTCATAAAAGATGGAAATTGATCACACTTTCTTTTCGAATTAACAAAATTCAAAAAAGACTTTGGATTATTTTTAATTTGATGACCCATAATAACAAGGTAATTGTCGTATTTGGACTGAAAGGCAGCCTTATAAAGATTAAAAAGATAAACAAATTCGTTATATCTATATTCCATCTCTATATTTTATATATGAATTCCAAGCTCAGTTTTTTTTGTTTTTCAATTTTTTCGACACTTTATCAACCCACGATGGTGAAGAGTTAATGGATTTATCACGTCTAATAGGAGTAAATAAGGATAAGGCATCATTTAGAACGTTGTAAAAACTAGCCACCATTTCATTGTCCCCACGTTACCAAAAAGGGAAAAAATATTAACTGTGCGAAGATAATCGTTTATTGCTATAAAGTTGATTTTATAAATGTCAAATTTAAAACAAA